GGATCGAAGGAAGGTGCTTAACCAACTGAGCCACCCAGGTGACCCTAAATCAAGACATTTAAATGATAATTCCATAAGGAGGGCACTTGATGGAATGAGCACTGGGTGTTACACGCAACTGATGAATCACTAAATTCTACCCCTGAAACAAATAATACACTATATGCTAACTAACTTGAATTAAAAAGAAAATAAATGATGATTTCATTAAATGCTGCAGAATCTGGGTTTTCTGCATACCATGATCATTTACATAGTCTAAATAAAGAATGGCTGTAATTCGTGTCATAATTCTTGAGTGTGATAGCTAGACCAGAACTAGAGAACTGAGAGTGGAATATCTTCTAATGGCAATGACCTTAAAGGAGCAGTGCTGTTTCCATGGAAGTCTGCAATGTCCCAAGGTGATTGAGCACCCAGAACCTAGTGTTTCTTTCTAGAAGCTGTTGAATAGTTGAAGACAGGACCTGGGTAAGTTTCCAGATCTCCCATTTGTGAGTTGTAGTATTTTGTCTTTTTTGTTCTTTTAGGGATCTAAAGTAGGTACCTTTTGTCTTTGGCTCATTTATCCTTCTATTCTCAGATTTAGCTCTCATTTCTGGAGTCTGGCTCTCCCCTCCTGAGCTCATCTGTTCTTGCCCTGTCTTCTGCAGCAACCAATCCAAGCTCATCCTTCTGGGGTAATGAGTCAGGTTTAAAATGAATCAGTTATTTCTTCATTGTGGAAATCATCATTTCTTGCACACATAAGATCTCAGTGAAGGAGAGCCATCTGGTAACTTATTTGTTTGTCTATAGTAGCATAATATGGCACCTTTCCCTCAAGCAAGTAAGTAAAACTAGGGGATGCAGTATGTTAGTCAAAAGTTAGGGAATGCAGTATGTTAGTCAAAAAGAAAGCAACTCTAATGCTAGTAAGAAGCAATTCTGAGCCGCTGGACTTTTTTTTTTTTTTTTAAAGATTTTATTTATTTATTCATGAGAGACAGAGAGATAGAGGCAGAGGGAGAAGCAGGCTCCCAAGGAGCAGGGAGCCTGATGCGGGACTCGATCCCAGGACCCTGGGATCATGACCTAAGCTGAAGGCAGACGCTTAACCATCTGAGCCACCCAGGCGCCCGAGCCGCTGGACTTTTGAAATTGCATATCTGAATGAGCTTCCAGTCTGCCATTTCTTACTGTTTGCCACAATTTTCCCTCTAACTGACCATCTTGGACTCCTGCAGCATTCAAAAACCCAATTTCCTGTTGTCTTTTTTGTCATCTTTCCATCAATTTCCTTTCTGATTTTAAAAAGGTATTTAACTTTCTTTTTCTCCAAAATTGTCCTTCTTACCCTCTGGCTAGACTCTAGTTTTATGGAAGCTTTACACAGAAATATATATATATATGTGTGTGTGTATATATATATCTTTTTTTTTCCTGATTGACTCAGTAAATCCTTTATTGATTTTGTTAACCCTATTCCTTACAAACTTATTAACAGTCGGGTTTATCAGTATTTCTTTTACCTTCTCACTTGTTATTTTATTTTCTTTTTTAGAGAGAAAGATAGAGTGTGTGAGCAAGTGAGGTGGGGGAGGAACAGAGGGAAAGGGAGAGAGAGAATCTTAAGCAGGCTCCATGCTCAGTGTGGAGTCTGACGTGGGGCTTGATCTCACGACCCTGAGATCATGACCTGAACTGAAATCCAGAGTTGGATGCTTAACCGACTGAACTGACCAGTGGCCCCATCACTTTTTTGTTTTGTTTGTTTTTGTTTTTGTTTTTGCTCTTCACATTTCAATTTGGAGGAAGCACTACTTATATTTTCAGGTCATAGTATATTCTCACTGTTATTCCTCCTTCATGGAAGCCTTGGAAGAGCTTTGGCTAACACACTTTTCCCTTTAGCGATCAGAAGGAATGCTTTTTGCCTTATTTTTCTGCCCATTCCTAGAAAAATTTTGATTAGTTAGTTCATACTTCATGATATGGAGGTTTGGTTTTAGGTCATAAAACAGCTTAAACAACTTTTACTTAAAATTGTCCTGCTAACTGCTACTTAATACTTGTTGAATGAATGAGTGAATTAGCCAAGAAATCCAGCCAGCATCATTTCTGAGCTGCTTTTCAGTCAGAATGAACAACTATGGTACACAATTCACCCCAAGTGTCTTGTACTATATTTTATCTTGAGATAAAACCCATGCATATTTATCAGAAAGCCATTGAAAAATTACCATGACAGAAATCATAGATGTAAAAATTCAGATAAAAAGTAAGTCAGAATACTGAGAGGAGACTCTGTGAATGTGGAAATTGAACTGGAAAGAAGCAGAGTGTTTGTGACTCTCTGTATTTGATGAATTACAGCATTTCTTCAAGTGTTCTTATCCTTTCTAGGGGAGGGAATCTGTATATAACAGACCAGAATTGCATTTTCTGTCATGAATATGGACTTCACAAAGGCAGGAATTCTTGTCCATGCTGTATCCTCAGTGCCCGGAATGGTAGTTGGCATTCTGGGCACTCAAAAATATTTACTGAATTAATGAACAAAAGTCATTTCAAAATCATTCAGAGAAGCACTCAGGATGAAATGATATACCTGGTTGTCCAAGAACATATTGATTGGCTGATTATCTTGGATAATCCAAGGATAGGTTCCTCATCATTGGTGGATATTAGTTGGTCAGACTTGGTCCTAGATATAATAGGAGTCAGAAGCATCTTATGTGTAGTTTCAGGGAGAAGGTCCCGATGCACTACCTGTCCTTCCTCCTTCAATATCTCTTCCATTTTCCTGACAGGCTCTCTGAAAGTTCCTCTGTCAGATTCATTGCTTAGTGATAAAGTTCTCTTTTCCCCCCTAAAACATCATCTGTTCACTTGTGAGAAGTTGTGGTGTACAGAATAATGGCCCCAAAATATCCATGTGTTAATCCCCGAGCCTGTGAATATATTACTTTACATGGCACAAGGGACTTTGTCAAAGTGATTAAGAATTTTGAGATGGGCAAATTATCCTGGATTATCTGGATAATGTAATCATAAGAATCCTACCTTACAAGTGGAAGGCAGGATGGTCAGAGTCAGAGAGGAGATGTGATGACAGTTGGCAGAGTTTGGAGTGATGTACTCTGAAGAGGGAGGAAGGGGTCATGAAGTAAAGAATGCAGGCAACCTTGGAAGAGGAAGGTAGTGGATAGTCTCCTAGGTCCTCTAGAAGGAATGCAGCTCTGCTGACACCTCGATTCTAGCTTGGAAGACCCATTTTGGCCTTCTCATCTTCAGAACTGTGAGATCACACATTTGTGTTTTGGTAAGCCACTAAATTCCCAGAAATTTGTTACTGCAGAATGAACACATATAGAATTAATACGAAGTTCTATTTAGGGCAAAGAACATTCAGTGGGAGCCATGGGTTCTTGATCCTCTATAAACCCTCCTACCAATTGACTTTGTGATAATGAGCAGGTCACCTCATATAGCTCTTTCTATATAAATTATTTCATTGGTATAACATGGAGTCATGGAGTTGTACTAAATCAGAAACAGCCACTGAGCAGTGGACCTCTGATGATTTATTTCTGGTAGTTTTTTTTTTTTATCCGTAAAGAACTGTAATTGTGTCCTAGCTACCCATGCTGCAGTTTGGCTACTGTCCCTTAGTTCTTTTTGTGCCCATGATCCTTGTAACTCAATTGTGACCCTCTCTCAATTGCAGACACAGATACTGTCTGGCTGTTTTCAGCAGTTCTATTTTCCTGTTACTCTTTTATCCATTCCAAATGTATTTTGAGAAAGAAAAGAGACTGTTATGTGGGAGAGTTCTTATCTTTGGGGCTCCAATGACTCTCCATCTCTGTCTTTGTCTGTCTGTCTACTAGTGGAGGAGATTATTTGCCTCAGGTCAACACATGTGTTATGTTAGAAATTGTGAATTTTTTGGAAAGTAAGCATAATTAAAAGATAAATATTTTTTTCCATTTGAAACATATACAAGGCTTTCTATTGGCTATTTTAAATTAATAGTTGAGACCCTATATTTCATTTGATGACAGAGTTCTCTTGTGAAATAATTATGTTGTGTAGTTAAACAATTGCATGTTGAGGCTTGGGATCCTATGATAACTCCTGACTGGTACCACAAAATACATGATTAACGTGAACTTTGGTGGATTATGATAAACTCTCATGACTGCACGAGTCATTCTTCAGTACCTGTAATTTCTTCCTTCATTCAACCAGTGTGAAGCACTCATTAAATAAGTGGTCGTGTTAGTCACCACTGGTGATTGTGATGGACGTGGGGAATACTCATGTGAACTAAGATGATTCCTGTACACAAGAAACTGCACGTTAATTTGAGAAATGGAAATTTATGTAATTGGGAGAGGCAGAGTGAAATCAATGCTAACAGTGCGGAGAGAGTAGAGAGACTGAGGCAGATCTGGAAGGTTTCACAAGGGAGGGAGCATTTGAACTGGGACATTGAAATTGGGACAGTAGAGAATAGAATGAGAAATTTTGAAAGCTGAAAGAAGGAAAACGTTTAAAGTCTAATCAAGCAATAGGAATAGCAGAACAGAGACTTTGAAAACTGTATGCTATGTATGAGGAATTGTTAGGTGACTCTTATGAGTGGCTGAAATCCTATCCATTCGTAAGAAGTCATAGTCAAAAGTATTTGAGGTTGACCTTGTATGCTACTGAAGTAGAATGGAGGGCAGGAGAAAATAAGAAATAGCCATGTGATAGTAGAAGAAAGCAGAAGGGAAACAGGTCCAGAGATGGACCTGTTGTAGCAGTTTTGAATTCATACTGGCATTGGGAACCAGCTGGCTCCTCTAAGTAGAAGTCCAATGTGCATGTGATGAAGATTATTTGGCTGTGGGAGTTGTTAATATGATGACTGTTTTCATGGGCTGGAGGCTTCCTTTTGTGAACACCAATACTTGCCGAGGAAATTGTTTTTCATTTTCTTTCTTCCTTTAGGGAAACATGAAATTTGACCCTGGTGTCTGAAGCAATAGACAGAATGAACCAGTCGATAGTATCAGAGTTTGTGTTCCTGGGACTCACGAATTCATGGGAGATCCAACTTCTCCTTTTTGTTTTCTCCTTTTTGTTCTACTTGGCAAGCATGATGGGAAACCTTGTCATTGTGTTCACTGTAACCTTGGATGCTCATCTACATTCGCCTATGTATATCCTCCTGGCTAACCTCTCAGTCATTGATATGTTGTTTTGCTCAACCACAGCCCCTAAAATGATTTGTGATATTTTTAAGAAGCACAAGGCCATCTCTTTTTGTGGATGTGTTATGCAGATCTTCTTTAGCCATGCTGTTGGGGGCACTGAGATGGTGCTGCTTATAGCCATGGCCTTTGACAGATATGTGGCCATATGTAAGCCTCTGCACTACTTGAGCATCATGAGCCCAAAGATGTGTCTATACTTTTTAGTCACTTCTTGGGTCATTGGGCTCATCCATTCATTGGTTCAATTAGGTTTTGTGGTAGATTTGCCTTTTTGTGGCCCTAATGTATTGGATAGTTTTTATTGTGACCTTCCCCAGCTCCTCAGACTTGCCTGCACGAACACCCAAGAACTGGAGTTCATGGTTACTGTCAATAGTGGACTCATTTCTGTGGGCTCCTTTTTCCTGCTGGTCATTTCGTATGTCTTCATTTTGTTTACTGTTTGGAAGCATTCCTCTGGTGGCTCATTCAAGGCTGTCTCCACACTGTCAGCTCATATCACTGTGGTGGTTTTGTTCTTTGGGCCACTGATGTTTTTCTACACATGGCCTTCTCCCACATCACACCTGGATAAATACCTTGCTATTTTTGATGCGCTTCTCACTCCTTTTCTGAATCCAGTCATCTACACCTTCAGGAACAAAGAGATGAAAGTGGCAATGAGGAGACTGTGCGGTCGTCTTGTGTGTTACAGGAAGATTTCGTGAATGGATGGTATGGGATATGAAATCACAGATTTTCCCTCATGCTGGTTGTAGAAAAGACATTATGCGATTTTAGAAAAATCCTCAACACTTAGGACATGTTATATGCCTAGAAATCTACTATCTATGGTATTATGATATCTATTTCACTATTAAGTGAGAAGTCATGTTTTTCTTTGATACTTTGTACATCAAAGTGCTAAAAAGTGAATAATATTATGTTTTGTAACCTACATGGTTAGGAGAATGCTATCATGTAATTGAGTAAATAAAAAGGTTTTATGTTTTTCCTACATTGGACAGATTATTCTATTGATAGACAAATTATACATTTATATTATCCTCCATCTACTTACTATTCAAGTTTATATCTTGATTTCAATTCTCTTTGTTGCTATTCTGTTTGCTTCTTATTTCTCCATTTTCTGCATCCTTTGCATCCTTATCAGGCACTCTGGAAATTGTTAACCCTATGTTAGATTTTTAAAAGTTAAAGGTAGGATGAATTGTCAATATCTTTTGTTCTAACTCCTCTTGCACTAGCTATAACCCAAGAATTGAGGGGTGACATCAATTAGCCCAAGGCACACAGCCAGAAATGACCAGAGATCCAAGTACCAGAAACCATGTTCCTGGTTGCCAGGTTAGTCCCCCTTCACATTCAAATGATTTTGTATTTGAATTTCTGTGCATGTTCTAGTATTTCAGCTTTTCTTATGGGTCTGTTTGTACAAAGAGCTCTACATGTCTTATGTGTATTCCTTCTTTCTGGTAAACTGTCATTACATTTAACACTTCCTTATTGTTTCTAAATCTTTTCTTAGTTTCTACCATGACCATACAGTTCCTTGTTCAGGTCCTACCAAAGCTGAGTCTTAAACCAAAGCATTAATTATGAAAAACATGTTTAGAATTCATTATTAAGCAGGATTCTTTTGTCTACAGTGGTATCCAGAGATTTTTTTTAAATTTTATTTTATTATGTTATGTTAATCGCCATATATTACATCACTAGTTTTTGATGTAGTGTTCCATGATTCATTGTTTGCGTATAACACCCAGTGCTCCATTCAGTACGTGCCCTCTTTAATACCCATCACCAGGCTAACCCATTCCCCCACTCCCCTCCCCTCTAGAACCCTCAGTT